CTACTTGTCGGTTACTAACAACAACAGTGATAACCTGTTTGTGATCTCTTAAGAATTCTGACCTACCCGGTCCCCTAAGAGATATAACGACCACTGACTCCCAAGGTTTCTGACCTACCCGGTCCCTCAAAGGAGATTTCTCTTTGCCTTAGACAAGGACTTCAATTAACTTCCCGTTGAAGGGCTGTGTTTACAAAGTTGCTTCTAATAAGAGGATTACACATATTTTTAAGTTCATATTTCTTAACACAATTATGAGCAACAACTCTTGTGTTTAAACAATTGAAAATGGTTACACAAATATGAGCAACAACTCTTGTGTTTCTTACTATTACAACTCTAACATAAATATGAGCAATAACTCTTGTGTTTATAATAGATAATTAAAGAACAAATAATAACACAATTAATGAGCAACAACTCTTGCGCCTTTGTCTTATTCCTTAGATTATTCTAAAAAAGTGGCATCAACACAATAATGAGAAACAACTCATGTGTTCAATCAAACAATATTAAAACAAATAACGAGTAACAAATCTTTTTGTTTTTGATCTTTTACTGGATTGATTTGGGCAACGTTACTGTTCTTGTATTGTAGTTCTTTAGTTTTTCGTCAATTCCTCAATTTGCAAATGAGGTGCTTGAAGCTTTATATAAATGTTGAGAAGTAGAACATTGAGGAAGTAGATTGTTGTAGTAGTACACGTGTCACTTTCATCACTGCCAACTGCCAATGGTAAGAAATGATCGTGGGAGAAAAATAGTACACTATACATCTATTTCAGTAGAATTTATAATTGTACTATTATACTAACTCTTGTGGCTCACGAATTTGATGATACTTGTCTTATGATGGATATTACTTCAACTGAAGAAGTTTGGATTGAGAATATATCCTTTGATCTTGTCTTCTAATGGAAAATATGATGTTGATTAGAAATGAGTCCAAAAGATCTTTCTTTCTTTGATCCTTTCTTCTGATGGAATACTTTTGATGTTGATTAGAAATGCGCGTATTCCATGAACTATCACAGTCTTCAGAATCTTGACTTTGTCTTCAGAAATATAAACAACAACTTTTTTGATGAGCAAATCTTGACTTCTGATTCGGAGGTAGAAGCTTTCTTTTGATGTGTTCAGAATCTTGATTTTATCTTCATAAATATAAGCAGCAACTTTTCTGATTAGCAAATCTTGACTTCTGATCTTTCCGTTGTAAGCTTGTTTCTTGTGCAATCTTGATTTCTGATCTTGAAGTAGCTGCTTGTCAAAGATTCTTTCTTCTTGAATAATTGTGACTTCTGAAGCAATAACTTCTTAAGAAGTACACACATGATCCTCTTTTCTGGCGAACATTCAACATTCTTCTGAACTACTGATGTTTCTTCAGAAGCGGATATGAACAGTATTTCTGATGTGTTTGGTGTATTTCTGATTCTTCAGACAACAGTATTGAATCAATTAGAATTTCTTATTTGCACACTCAAGAAACTTATTAGAAACAAAATTGTTTACACATAAAATATATGTATTGTTATCATCAAATCCATAGATTAAATGTAAAATTCAAATCTCGTTCAAAAAAAACAAACATCATTATTATGTTATGCTAAACAAACCATAGACGACTGAAACCACAATAAGTTTAACAATTTCTTTTGAAAATACTAACACAAGATCTCACTAGGTGTGCCAATTTGTTTCTCTGGAATTTGGTAGACAATGCTAGTTTTTTATTAAAGGTCACTTTGCGAGATCGGCTAGTGAATCTCATAACAATGTGCTTAGAGTTTTTCAAATATAGTAAAAATGGTAAAAGTTTAAGTGATTCCGATTGGGGTCAAGATCACGTTTTGAAATTTAAAGCGAGTAAAGGTAAAAGTTTGGCTGGAAATATAAAGATTGCGACTGTAAAACATAAAGGTAAGTAAAGAAAAACTGAGCGTAAAGCTTTGAATTAATGGAAATTTGGTGATAAAACATATATTGCACTCCTTGGACGCATTTCACACTATATTGGATACTCTGAGTTTTTGCGTGAGTTTGATAGTAAATTTGAACACTCTAAATCTAACAATGAAACTACTATTTATAATACAACATAAATAACTGCTTTAATGACAAGCTTTTCTCCAACAAGTGTCGCATTTTCGTTACATATATTTTCATTTTATTAACTGCTCCTACACAATGCTCACTTGTTTTAACACCCTTAATCATCGTAACTACCTTGGTTGAACCATCCATATTTGTTACACAAAAAAAAGTCCACAAATTTCTTCAAACTGAATTTCGACCTCCAGTTCACCTATCTTATATCGAACATTTATCTACACGAGCATCAACCATGCTTTTCTCCCTTGATCTAGAACTTCGTCCAAAGGACTTTTCATTCTCCTCTTGTTTTAGTTAGATTTTGAAGTTTTGTCGAAAAATCCCAGCTAACACCCTCAAACAAACAACTACTACCACCAACAATATCAACAACAAATCACACTTCAACCACTCATACAACCTTAACCCAACTTTGACTATTCATACTCCCAAACTCAACCACAAACCTTTAACCTTTCACCTTCTCTCCCACTTCTACATTCAACAGTGAAAGTGTTTATTATCCTCCAATTCAACAGAGTTTTCTAGATACCTTGATACCGCCTACGCATCCAATCACCAACAATGAATTCACATATGAATATTATGGAATGACCAGCTTTTTCTGTTTAAGATATGGATATAGATATAGGTAGGAATCCATCACATCAAAATGAAGATTTGTCATCCGACAATACTCCTTCTCCTCCAAGACAGCAAACCGAAGAGTTAGGCAAGGGGAGACGCAAAAAAGAAGAGTACCATATGTAAAACGGGCAGTTATTTAAAGGCAAAATACTCATTTTGGTCCCTTAACTATACCCTTGGGTTCATATTGGTCCCTTAACTTTTTTTTTGTGTCATTTTGGTCCCTTAACTTTCAAAAAGTTTCATTTTAGTCCTTTTTGTCTAAATTCGTAGCTAATTAGACGGAAAAACTTTGAAATCAGCCGCTAAATTCGTAGCTAATTAGACAAAAAGGACTAAAATGAAACATTTTGAAAGTTAAGGAACCAAAATGACACGAAAAAAAGTTAAGAGACCAATGTGAACCCAAGGGTATAGTTAAGGGACCAAAATGAGTATTTTGCCTTATTTAAATTAACCCACTTAACATATCTTATATTTTCAACAATATTAATAAAATTGTTTTTCTATCTTCTTTAATTAATTAATTGTTTAATTGTTTAATCGTTGTAATTAAGAAAATGATATAAATATTTATTACAATTATATTAAGTCTTTAAAAAAATTATAGGAATTTTGTCAAAAAAAATTATAGGAAAAATATGTTGAATTAAAAATATATTAATAAAATATTAAAATTGAATTATATTAATTAAAAACTAATAAAAAAATTAAAATAATGTAAGAAATGAAAAAAATAATATAATATTCACCTGCTCGTCCAATGGATGGCCGAGCATCTAAATAAAAAAACGAAACATATGCTTGTCCAATGGATGATTGAGAAAGTTCAGAAAATAGGGTATTTTGAATTTTTTTTCTTCAAACCCTGGCATTTTAGAACTTTCATTCCAATAGTGTGGCATTTTTGAATTTATTTTAAAACTTTTATGTTAGATGTTTTTCTTATTATATATTTTTGAATCTATTATAGAAAAATGACTAGTCTAATATTTATAATTGAACATTATTAATACTATATATTTTATATTATTATGAAAAATTAATTTCCATAAATAAGTTTTTTTTTAAATATTTTTACATTTTTTTAATCTACCCATTCAATCCAACCCGCTGTTTCTTGGTTCAATTTGGTTTGTATTTTATCGAAAAAATTTACAAATCCGAAAATTTAAAAATAATTATATAAAGTTAAAAAGAACAAGTTGTGATCTCTGAAAGCTGCGGTCTCCCATGGCGTCAACGTCGAACCCTATTCAAGGGTTTGGCAAAAACCAAGTTGATCATGGAAAAAGTACCATTGAAATAGATCTCCATGAAAGGAGCACGAAGAAAGTGAAAAAGGTGGGAGAAAAGGGGAATGAAAAACAAGATATATTCTTCAGAGACATTATTACTGGTAGGTATTCACAGGAAATGAAGGTAGGTAAGGAGGCGCGGGAAGATGACGAAATGTTGAATGAAAGTACTAGGGAGATTACAATCGAAGAAGAGAAGGTGGTGGGCTATGAGTGTCCAAACTTTATATTTTTCGTGGAAGAGGAGAAAAGAATTCAAAAACCATGGAGAAGAGGCGTGATTATGAAGCTGCTAGGGAGACGTATAGGCTACAAAGCGCTCAAAAATAGATTGAATCAGATGTAGGTTCGCAAAGGTGTTATTAGTATCATTGACTTAAGAAACGACTATTATTTAGTCTCCTTTTCTCATGAAGATGATAAGAAGGCTACACTGGAAAATGGTCATTGGTTTATTTACCATTGTCTCACCATTAAAGACTGGCATCTAAACTTCCAACCTTAAAGTGATACTATTGACGAAGTGGCAGTGTAGGTATGTATTACATGGCTTCCTATTAAGTATTATGATCCAAGTGAATTTAAGGTGTTTGGAAATAGGATTGGTCTCACCATTAAGGTTGATAAGACAACAATCAAACAGGAAAGAAGGAAATATGCGCGTATTTGTATAGTTGTGAATTTATCTCAACCATTGCTAGCGATGTTCAAGATCCGAGGGAGTAACTATAAGATAGAGTACAAAGGTTTGCATATTTTATGTCTTGTGTGTGGGAGATATGGACATTATAAGGAGGGTTGAATGGAGAAGGAGATGGAGAAAGGAAAGGTTGCAAGAAGTGATGGTAACAAATAGATAGTCTTGAGTCAGTAAGCTATAGAGATGGAAAAAATTCCATGAAAAATAATGTGGAAGATAGGCCTTGAAAGGTGGTACAGAAACAAAAGAGAGGTAGAAAAATGGGGGTGGAAGGCCGAAGGAACAATATTCCAGTGAGAAATAATGATAAGACCGGATTTGGAGGATCAAGATTTCAAGCTTTGGAAAATGAAGATATTGCTTTAAATGGCAATGATAATACAATTAATGCTAAAGTTATTGTTATAACTGAAGGTTTAAATATGAGGAATGTTCACACTGAGTCCACTTTTGGAATAAACTCAGAAAAAGAAATAATTAATGATGAGACACATGATGTTATTCAGGAGGTGTTTGGTGAAGAAGGGAAATCTCCAAATAATAATGTTAGAGATATGATGAGGTGGCGAGATGTTATTGGGGAACATAATAAAGTGATCAATCAAAAGAAAATGAAGGTTGTTATGGCTGGTAGTGGAGGTAGGAGACATATTCAGGAGATGCTGGAATAAAAAACCAATTAATTAGCAACACGTGGAGGAATTCAGATTAAGGACAAAACTGGTGGTATAAGCATGGAAGGTGTTGAATGCTTATTGGAGAATTTTAACATTGGTGGAAATCAAGAGGGAGACAAACACAGAACTTTTAATTTAATTAGGAAAGAGTATGTTGATGGAGTGAGAGCCATGTACATAAAAAGTATGAAACAAAAAGTGTCAGATGGAGATACGGGTTTGGTTCATGACCATGCAAAGGAGGATGTAACCAATGAGTTAGATGAACAATCTGATGTTAATAATGAGAAATCCCAGAAGGTAGTTTTTACGTATGGGAATTATAATCTGAACCTAAAAAATATGAATGAAGCAGACAATGGAAATATGAGTGATGGCTTGGAAGTGGAGGAATCAGTTGAGGAAGTGTGTTCAACCCATTGACTGGTTTTTTTACCATCTTTTATTAGTTTTTATGATGAGTACAAATAGCAAAATACTGGTGTGGAATTATAGAGGGACGGTGAGTCATGCATTTTATAGATATTGCAAGCACTATGTGGATAGTTATATACCGAATTTGATGGTAGTGGTAGAGACAAGATGTGATCCTACTAAGCTAAGTAAGACTTTCAAGAAGTTAGGGTTTTACGCTTTTGAAAGTAGTGCTATTATAGGTTTTGCAGGAGAAATTGTGATGGCGTGGAAGTCAAGTTTTTTTTAATGTTAAACTTCTAAAAAAGAATGAGCAGTTTATACATATGCAAATTAAATTTGATAATGAGCAAGAGTGGAATTTTACTGCTATTTACGCCAGTCCACATGAAAATAATAAGAACATGTTATGGGAGAAGTTGACAGATTTAGCATATAGTTTGCAAGCTCCTTGGATGTTGGTAGGGGATTTTAATGATATTTCTCATGTGAGTGAGAAAAGAGGTGGAGTTCTCGCGTCTTTGAACATATGTAAGAGATTAAGGGATAAAATGGATAGGTGCTTGATTAGTGATGTGGAGTCAAGAGTCCCTAAATTTACTTCGAGAGGACCAGTCTTCCATGGTGGACAGCATATATACGAAAAACTTGATAGGGTTTTGAGTAATGATGAGTGGAGGATGATGTTCCTTGAAGCCTATGAGAAACTGTTTATGAGGGTGGAATTTTCATACCACCATCAAATTCTTGTTAATATGAAGGAGGAGTTCCATAACTACGTTGAGAAACCTTTTAGGTTTGAAAATGTATGGCTTACTTATGATATATATAGTAGCATGCTAAAGGAGGCGTGGAGAGAGGATAATTCCTTAGCTTTGAATTTGAAGAATGTTGTGGAAGGAATAGAAAAATGGAAGTTTAATTCCTTTGATAAAATCAAAAAAGCTAAGAAGGAAATGAAAAGAAGACTAGAAGGTATCTAGAGGAAGCTTCAAAATAAATATAATAGATGTGGAATGAGAATACTAGAGAAAAAGTTACAGGAGGAGCTGAGTAGTATTTTAAACCAAGAAAAACTTATATGGTATCAAAGATCCAGAACTGTGTGGCTGGAAGGTGGTGATCGAAACACCAACTATTATCATATGCAGACCATTGCTAGGAGGAAAAGAAACAAGATTAACATGTTTAAAAATGACGATGGTTTGTGGATTAATGACCATGAAACTCTAAAAAGGCATGTCATCGATTTTTACAAGGATTTGTTTCCTCAACCTTATACGCGATATATTTGGAAGCAGAATGATGTTAGTTTTCTAGAGTTGGAAAATGATAAGCTTGACCTATTAAAGAAGGGTATTAGTATAAAAGAAGTCAAGAAAGCTTTATTTTTTATGAAACCGTGGAAAGCTTCAAGTCCTGATGGATTTCCTGCTAGGTTTTATTAGAAAGCTTGGGATGTGGTAGGTGCTGGTTTAGGTGACTTTGTCAAAAAGGCTTGGTTCAACCCTAGTATCATTGTGGATATTAACAAGACGTATATTTGTCTAGTTCCGAAAGTGGATCAGTCTCAAAAGGTTACTCAATTCCGCCTTATTTCCTTATGTAATACAATGTATAAAATTATTACTAAGGTGATAGTTGGTAGATTGAAACCTTATATGTGTCAGTTGGTGTCAGCGTATCAAATGGGGTTTGTGCCTGGCAGATCAATTGATGAGAATATTATTATTGCGAATGAGGGGATTCATAGCATGAATAACAAGAAAGGGGGGAAAGGTTATTTTACGGTGAAAATTGATTTAGCTAAAGAGTATGATAAACTTAATTGGGAGTTTATTTGGAGAACTTTGGAAGAAATTGATTTGCCGGAAAATATGAAAAACCTCATCATGCATGGAGTTACGATCATGGAGACGAATGTGAACTGGAATGGCAATAGGAATGAGTTTTTTCGTCCTTAACGGGGAATTCGACAAGGAGATCCAATCTCACCTTATCTTTTTTTCCTTTGTATGGATAAGTTATCTCATTTAATTAGTCATGAGGTGCAAAAGAAAAAGTGGAAGCCTTTTCGCACAGGAAAGAATGGTGTAGATATAACACATTTAATGTTTGCTGATGATTTGCTTATCTTCAGAGAAGCTACAGAGGCACAAATGGATTGTGTTACAAAGACGTTAACTAAATTTTGTCAACTGTCGGGGCATGAGATTAGTCTGGACAAGTCGAGTATTATGTTCTCTAAAAATTCCTCCAAAGGGATAAGACCAAAATTAGTTGAGAAGTCTGGTTTTAGAGAAACAAATAGCTTTGGTAAATACTTAGGAGTCCCTTTAATAGGTAAAGCTGCTAGAAGAAGAGACTTTAATTATGTGTTAGAGCAGTTAACGAAGAAACATTCAAGTTAGAAAGCAAAACACCTTTCCTTTGCTGAGAGAATTACTCTTGCTAATAGTGTTATGGAAGCCATTCTGATTTATCCAATGATGACGAATATGTTGCCTAAGGGGTGTATCAAGATATCGAAAAGTTGCAACATAACTTTATATGGGGAGATACTGAGCTGAAGAGAAAGTATCATGTAGTTAGTTGGGAGAAATTTGTGACTAGCAAGTGTGATGGAGGTCTTGGTTTGAGGGATCTTGAAGTCATGAACCAAGTTTGTATTATGAATTTGGGTTATAAATTAATCAATAGTGATGAAGATTTATGGTGTAGAGTTTTAAGAGGGAAGTATAAAATGGATGGTGTTAGCAATAACCTGGAAGCTAAGAGTTATGACTCAAAGCTTTGGATGGGAATAGTTTCTACGTATCCAACTTTGATGGAAGTTAGTATTTGGAATGTGGGAAATGGGAATTCTATACATGCTTGGGATGATAATTGGATAGCTAGAGGCAAGAATATTTTAGAAAATCTTATAAGTATTCCTCCTACTTTAAGATATGCTAAGATGAGTGATATTGTGGGATATAATGGTACTGGAACTGGGACTGGGAGTTGCTTGTCTGGCTTCTAAATGACTTTAAACTCCAAATTATAGTCATTCATCCACCTGTGATTGATGCTACCGTGGATTAGTTGAATGTGGCTACAAATGAAGATGGTTCTTTTTTTATTAGGAGTATGTATAATAACTTGATGGAGGATAATGATCTTAGCGCAAGTAAAGTGTGGAGCTGCATCTGGAAGTTGAAAGTACCTGAGAGGGTCAGAAGCTTTATATGGACACTTAATTATGACATGCTGCTTACTGGTAAAAGATTGGATGCGCAAGGTATTGAGAGTGCTAGGTGCAGATTATGTGGGCATAGCCAAGAAGATATTATGCATGTGTTTAGGGATTGCAAACAAGCGAAGTCCGTTTGGTTGAATATAATTCCGGAATCGATCCTGAACGACTTTTATACTTGCAATTTACAGGAATGGATTTCTAGTAACATTTCTGGCTCTCTAACGGAGAAGGAAGATTGGTGTGATTATTGGGCAATGGGTTGCCATTCGATTTGGGAGTGGAGTAATAGAGAGTTGCATAATGATAACTATGTTAGACCAAACAATATCAGGAGGTTATTTTCAAGAAGTTAAAAGATTATAAGGAGGCAGTCATAATTCACTCTAGAATTATTGATCGAAGCATGCTGGAAACGTTGATTCAGTGGGTTTGTCCTATGAATGGTTTTGTTAAAGTTAATGTGGATGGAGTTCATAATGTGAAGGGTGTTTCACGTTGTGTGGGGGGTTATTAGATACAAGTTTGGTACTTGGCATGATGGGTTTACAAAATGTGTGGGAAGTTATAGTCCCTTAATGGCAGATTTTTGGAGAGTTTATGAAGGTTTAAAGATGGTTGTGGCGCATAAGTGGTTGAAAGTTATTGTTGAAGCGGATTTGCGAGAGGTGGTGGATATTATCAACAATGTGATAAGTAACAGGATCTCTAATTGCAATTTGGTTTACCAAATTCATAATAATGGAGAATGTGGAGATGGTGGAAGTAATACATACTTATAGGGAAGCTAATGGGTATGGTCACTTGCTTGTTAAGCATGAGAAAGATATAAAGGAAGGGTTCAAAGTCTTTTAAGATATGCCCACTTGGCTCATTAGTAATTTTGAGTGATAGAAATGGTATTTTCTATCCTAGAATTGTTGTTTAGTTTTTCTACTTTTTAGGCTTAGGCTTCGGCCCTCCATATTATTAAAAAAAAGAAATTACAAATCCAATCCAAATTAATTTATATAATTTTAATCGATTTGAATATAGATTTTTTTTTAAAACCAAATCAAACCGGCTGACATACATACCTATTATATGTTATTCAACGATTGAGCGGTGCGGGTTAAGGCAAGGCGCATCCTCCGGACATTCTAAAAATCAGTTACACGCATTTACCGTTTCACCCCCTACTCTTTATAAACACCTCTTTACCCTCATCTCTACCATATCCTCTCTTCGCAACGTTTCTCAATCTCTGTTAGCTTTGAAGTGGTGAAAAACACAAGAAGTGGGGGTTGAATTGTAAAACTGAAATCTAAAGTAATTGACAAGATATTTTTATCCTGGTTCGTTTGATCTCAAACTACTCCAGTCCACCCGTCAAGGTGATTTCGCCTCTCTCCAACGAGGTCTTAATCCACTATATTCAACTGAATATTACAGACTGCTTTAACAACTGCTAAAGCCTTCTTGATTCAAACCACAACCCGGTTTGTCAAGGCAACACTTTCTTACAAAGAGATAAAACTATGTGTGTGGATGTTTTCTACAAAACTGTATCACAACTGTGATGTATACACAAAATGAAGCTTAGAAACTAGATTGCTAAACAGTAATGGAATATCAGAGTGTGTGGTTTAGCAAAAACGGTAGAACGAAGATTATGGTTCAGCTTTTGTGCGTGTAGAGATTTGGAGAGCATTAGCCATTATAATCTTCAAAGCCTTGTTTATATAGCACTTGAAATGATGAATCGTTGAATGCAATATTCTTGATTCAATGCTAATAACAGGCTTTCCTTATTGAGCAGATCTTGTCTGGAATGAGGCCGTTGGAATTAATTAGCTTTCAATGCACAGTACCGTTGCTTCCTTAATGCACGTTCTGGCTTGGCTCATTCTGATTCTGCTTCGCTGCTGATGAACTATTGTGTTTCTGTATCAGAGTGTTGAGCGCAGTCTTGTTCATCAGGCTTCAGCATGTACGTGAGTTGATCATCTGATTTTGACGTTCTGATGTAGCAACTTCTGATGCTGGTGTATGAAATCAAATTCTGATGCTGGTGTATGAAATCAAATTCTGATGCTGAATAGATGTATCTGCAAGTCAGAACATAATAATTTTTAGGCAGCAGATAGTTCATTCATGAAACTTATAAATACTATATCTTTTCACTTTGTTATCATCAAAACTCAAATATAGGGTAGTAGATTCAAACATTGTTCTAACAATCTCCCCCTTTTTGATGATGACAAAAACTAGATATTTTAAATGAAAATAACGTGAAAAGGTATCTGGAAAATGTATCAGAGTAAGAAGTACGGAGAAGTCAGAGTTAAGAGATACTCCCCCTGAGTTGATTACTTCCCTTTGATTATACGTGTTCTTCAGGATCAGATCTTTTTCTTTCTTTGAACATCAGATTATCAGAGTCTTTGACTTATCAGAAGCTTTATGTCAGAGCAGAGCTTCAGAGCTTTTCTTGTCAGAGCTTTGCTTTGGATCAGAACTTCATATTGATCAGAGCAACTTCATATTGATCAGAGCTTCTAGTCTTCAGAGTGTCCAGGAGCTTCCTTGTGCCTGTAGATTTTAAACAAAACAGAAAAAACATTTCAAGTAATAGAGTTAGAATGTTTGAGAATTTCTGTCTAGTTAGCCGTTATTGATTTAAATATCATTCTTGTTCTCCCCCTTTTTGTCAGCAATCAAAAAGTGTTGGTGATGTGCTAAAATGAGTAAGATCAGAAAAACTAATCA